TTAAACTCAGAAGTAGCCAAAATTACTTAATGGGTTATTTTGATGTCCATATTTCATCTATGCATGACATTTTAAAACTCTGTAGTAGTTATAAAGTGCTGCAATTGCCAACAAAACGAGGATTACATCCCTGGTTTGTGTTGGCTGATGAGAGACTTGCACAGTGCTCTTATCAAGCCTATTAGCCATGAGAAAAACAAGCCCTCATTCAGTGAAACTCTATTTTGTAACAAGAAACTCTATCTTACCTGTGTCTCCGTGGGTGCTCACAGCTGGACCTCAGCTTTCCAGGGGGATTAACCATCAACAATTCATTTCTGAGAAAGGGAGTCACTGCTTTAAGCCTTGAAAATGGAAACTGCTGAGCTCCTAGGTAATGCAAACTAAACGAGTGAAACCTGAGCCCCTCTCCTGGCTCACTGCTCGAGCCAGAGCCATGGTGTGCTTCGCATCATCAGAAAGATATGAGGAAGCTGTGGCATTTGCTTAAACCTGTAGGATTTGCGGGTCAGTGAGGCTCAGAGCTGGTGCTGCCCTTGGCACACAACAGCCCATGCAGCTCCAGGCTGGGGGAGCAGTGGGGACAGAGGTGTTGGTCCCAAAGGGCCTTGGCAGTGCTGGGGGCACAGCTCAGTGGGAGCCAAGAGTGTGCACAGGTGGCCAAGGAGGCCAAGGGCACCTTGTCCTGGCTCAGCAGAGTGTGGCAGCAGCACTAGGGCAGTGTCATCCCCCTGCACTGGGCACTGGGGAGGTCCCAGCTCAGTGCTGTGCTCAGCTTTGGGCACTCACTGCCCAAAGGCCATTGAGGCACTGAGCGAGTCCAGCCAAGGGCAACGAGGGCAGCAAAGGGCAGAGCACATGGGCAAGGGCTGAGGGAGTTGGGTTGGTCAGCCTGGAGAAGAGGCTCAGGGGTGACCTCCTGGCTCTCTGCAACTCCTGCCAGGGCTGGAGAGAGGTGTGGGATGTGTGTCCTGCCAGGGCTGAGGGAGAGGAGAGAGGGAATGGCCTTGAGCTGAGCCAGGGCAGAGTCAGATTAGGAGGTTGTAGCAAGGTGTGGGTTTGACTCTTCTCCCAGGCAATTAGCAACAGGGTAAGAGGGAACAATCTCAAATTGCATCAGGGGAGGTTGAGGTTGGATATTAGGAAAACATTCTTAGCAGACAGGGAGCCAAGCATTGGAACAGACTGCCAGGAAAGGCTCTTCAGGCCTGTGGATGTGGCCCTTGTGCCTGGTCTCAGTGGTGAACACAGTGGCTCTGGGGGTAAGTTGGGCTGGATCATCTCAGAGGTCATCTCCAGCCTCAGTGGTTCTGTGGCTCTGTGTAGAGCTATCCAAACTCTGGAACCACTCGCTCCATATTTTTGTTTGCAGTTCCTGCAGTAATAGTACACTGCAGGTTAACTTGTCCCTTCTGAATGCAGATGGATCATCCATAGGATGGGTTTGTGGGGCTTTTGCTGTGTGTAAATATCATGAGGCGAGAAAAATAGTAGGGAAATAAGTTTGGGTGTCAAGAGAGAATTGAGTGGCATGTCTGGGGTTTGTGTCAACATTTGGTTCACAGCATGCCATCTGCTAAGCTGGTAGATATGTGTTGGCAGCATATGCCACACAGCTGACTTTGTTTGGAAACTCTTGAGCAGGAAATCTGAGTGAAGGTTGCTGCTCTCATTTGTTTCATGTTTGTCTAATTGAAAGAAGCCAATAAGAGGCTTTTCCATGAGTTTTCCTTGGGTTTTGGGAAGGCAGTTTGGTTTTCCTGAGGGGAAAGGGGAGATTTTACAGTACTCTAGAGATGTTCTGTGTACAACTTCCAAGCAGCTGATGATCTCAAGGCCTGTTGGAGTGTTGCTAGTTCTTTAGCTTTTCCCATCTTTCTTGTGAAGGGTAAGTAAGTCCCAGACATCCCTGACAGTACACAGAACACAGAACACCACTGGCATTTCTCTGAGGCAAAGAGCCTTCTGGGTGTCAGCAAACTGTGTACAAAGGGTTTTCCACACAGTGAAGCTGCTGTGGGTTGTAGAGACATTCCCAGAGTTCAGTCAGTGTGAGCACACAGGGTGACCACAGGACACTGTGGGACAAGGTCTCCATGGCCAGGCATGGAATTGCATGTGCAGCATTTACATCACTCCTGCTCCTGTCTCTGTTGAGTTGCACAGGTGTCAAACAGGCTGCACTAAACTGATTTCTCTCTGCTCACCACTGACAGGAGCTGAGGGAACAGCTGGAGCTGTGTCAGGGGAGGGTTAGGCTGGGTGTTAGGCAAAGGTTCTTTCCCAGAGGGTGGATTGTCCTCTGGAGTGTTTACAAGGGTTAACAACCCTTCTCCCCACCCCATCACTGAATACAAACTGTCACAGCATTAAAGGACTTCATCCTGCAGATGAATGTGCCAACATGTTTAGCTTCACTCAAATAGACTCTCTTGATGGTTTACTGAAGACCAAAGAGTAGGAAAGAAAAGCAGAGGAAAAATGTTGGAAGTTTCCTTTCTTAGTACCACCAAACTAAATTGTCAGCATGGAAAAAAGGAGACTGAGAGGACACTCATCACAGTCTGCAACTTGCTCTCGAGGGGCAGTGCAGGGGCAGGACTGACCTCTTCCCTCTGGGCCCAGGGACAGGACCCAGGGAATGGGCTGGAGTTGTGTCAGGGCAGGGTTAGGCTGAGATTAGCAACTGGTTCTTCTTCCCCCAGAGGTGTTTGGGCACTGAACAGCTCCCAGGGCAGTGGCACAGCCCCAAGGCTGACAGAGCTCCAGAGGTGTTTGGCCAATGCTCTCAGCACAGGGTGTGATTGTTGGGGCTGTGCAAGGCAGGGGTTGGACTGGGTGATCCTTGTGGGTCCCTTCCAGCCCAGGATATTCTCTGATTCTATATGAAGAGCTGTGGGATAAAGCTTTATGCACAGAAAGAGAAGCAGAGAGGGCTGTGGAAACAGGGTTGGGTGTTGATGTGAGTGCAGGTACTTGGCATACATTAAGTATGTGTTGACTAACTAGATTAACTCTGCAGTGAAGAAAAGCTTGGACTGGTTTTAGTTTCACTTCATGATTGTGGGAAAGTGTTGTATTTTATCTGTAATGTGAGTTTTATGATGCTATCATCTGACCCAACAGGATGTTGGAATGTTCAATCCATCAAAGCTTATAAAGTTGTTTAGCATCTTTTTTATAGAAGAGACTCTATAAAGAATAGAACAGTAAACATCTGTGGTATTTCTGAGTCACCCATCCTCTTATTATCCCAGTTTCTCTCCTAATAAATAACCACACAAAAAAACTCTTCCAAACCTGAGGCTGCTACTGAGATTTATTTTCCTTTCAGATGAATTCCTTTGGGATTCTGCCTTCGGTATTGAGATGTGTGCCACAGCCATTCAGAGCTGCACAGCTATTTCTGCTTTTGAGACTCACATCCCTTATCAGTGGAGCTGCAGAAGAGCCTCTGCAGGGAGCAGAGCAGAGCTGATGCTGTGCCCTGCAGACGAGGTTAGCTCACAGCAGCCAGGAAAACACGGCAGTGCCTGCACCTCTGGGCTGACTGACCTCACAGCTCCTCTTCAGCCCAAAGGCTGCACAAGAACAGAGCTTCAAATTGTTGTCGGGATAAGATAGGTTGCTTCAAGCACTGACAAGCTTAGCCTTACTTTAGGGACAATGTCACAAAGCTGTTGTGGGCAGGAAATACTATTTTTGCATCAACAGACGGTTAATATTTTTCCTCTACAGACAGACCTGGACAGACTGATCAGTGGCTGAGGACACTGCATGA